ATAAAATCACTACAAAAAGTAATATGTTTTGTTTCAACACTTCTGGTGTCTTATCAAGTTGATGTTGAATGTAGAATAAAGAGTTTATTATACATATTCATGTTTGTACATAAATAAATATATAATTTTCAAATAAAATATTTATTTCTGTATTGAGCACTCTTTTAAGAATAGTATTTTTTTGGTTATTGTAATTTATTCAAATACATCAATCCTATATATATATGTGTGTGTGTGTGTGTGTGTGTGTATGTATGTATATATATATATATGTCTTTTTCTGAATCTAATGTAAAATTGTCAAAACTAATGTTATTGAATTAATTATTCAAAAAAAAAAAAAAAAAAAAAAAAAAAGCATATGTATGATTGAAGTTTTTTTTTTTTTTTTTTTATTCACTTAGATGCAAAGCCATTTCTTCTCCTCCCAGTTAAGGTAAATAACAGGACAGATGCTGGGCTGTATAGCCTTGGTTGGCAACCAATCTTGAAGAATTACCACTTAAAATCTGAGGAGGGTCGATTGTAGAATTTGTGGCACATTATGTGCAACAGTTTTCTGTATTTGGTTCTCCCGAAAAGTGTGGTTACTTTTGAAAAAGCTTTTGACACTATAATCAAATTGTGTGTGTGTGTGGAGTGTAGCTGTTTGGATCTAAGAAATGAGCTACTATACATACATATATAATAATAATAATAATAGACTCTCCCGCCAAGATTCGACGTATGAGGGTCAAGCAGATCAGTTTCCAGTAAACTGACAGCCCGACACCGGCACATAAGATTTGATTATAGTGGTGAAGGCCTCGTGCAGGACCATCCACACTTTTTGAAGGGACGAATAGAGACCTGGTGCACCGAATGCCACAAGGTTCCCAAACGACCCTCCGCAGGTTTTGAATTCAGAGTTGTCCTTCTAGACCAGTTGCCATCCAAAGCTAGAGAACCCAGTCTGTCCTGCTATTTTACCCATAGCTGGAGGGAGAGGAAAAGGATTTATACCTTTCCCAAGGGTATTAGCACGTAAATGAATGTAATGGATTCGACTGGAATTTGAACTTGGCTCTGCGATTCCTCAATCCAAGCTGCTATCCATTACTCCACCGTGCCATATATATATATAAAAAAATATAAATATATATACATACATACATACATACACACTTTTAGAATCTGTTGCTGGAAATTTTCACTATGAAAACGTATTTTTAAACTTTCATGGTGTTAGGTTCACTAATTGCCCATAGTTAGGACCCTAACAGGTGCTACCACCCCAGGTCAAGGTGGACCTGGAGACAACAGCAATTGAGAGGTGGTTCCATGTTCCTCAAAGACTCCCAATCAGAGGATATATATAAAGATACAGCTCTCCCATTTGTGGAGAGACATAGATGAATCTGGAGTCCTAAACATGGCTTCTCCAGACACAGGAGTATCGTCATATCATATGTAAGACCTTCCCTTTTTCTTTCTCTTTTTACATTCTGCTTTGCTGATACAGTTTTTTTTTTTTTTTTTCCTTCATGGGAAACACACACTATATATATATATATATATATATATATATATATATATATATATATATATTATATATTAGTTTTATGTATGTTATTATGGCATAAAAGTCTGAGAAAAAAAAATTTTCATTTCTTTTAGCCATTCTGTTCTATTATTTGTGAACTATGGTGGTGTTGTTATATCAGATATAATAATGTCCATAATGGACAAAATACAAACGAGAGAATAAATTTTTCTTCCGTAGTCCTCCCCTGTTACATATGTAAATTATTTTCAGACAAGTGTATCTATAAAGAAAATGAATAAAAAGACAAAAGGAAAAACAGTTTTTAGCTGACATGTTTCATCCTTGAGGCAAATGCGTCGCCTAAGAATAGTTCTTCTGCTTGATTTTAGTCATATATATTATATATACACACACACACACTTGTGTGTGTGTGTGTGTGTGTGTGTGTGTATATATATATATTCTTTTTTTTTGAACAATAAAAAATATTAAAAAATTAAAATCTTCAGACACACTGGGTTGTATATTAATATTCCTTGGTTTTTATTATTATTTCATTTAGTTTCCTCGACTAGTTTTAGCCAGCATGGCCATCATCAGGAGAAAAATAATTTTCTGCTTGATGGTAGCAGTGAACTACAGAAATGAATGTCTTGATGGAGAAAATTAATTGTCTGTAGTTTTCATTTGTTTTTTTTATTTTTTTTAACATGAATTTTGGTCAGTCTTTGTGTTGGTCAAACCGTCTCTTTTAATTTGTTATTTGAGATAAGAGCTGGATGGATTCATGCTGCTCTGAATTCCTTTGGTCATTTGGACAGCTTTATTGGTTTCCTGGAAAGGGGATATGTCTGTTAAGTGTGTGTGTGTTATTTGGTTCTTAGGGAGTGAGTGAGTATGATGTGTGTAAGTGTGTATATTACTATGGGTGTGTGTTATCATTTGGCTCATTAGGGAATGGGTGAGTATGATGTATGTATATTTGTGTGGGTGTATGGAGAAGTGTGAGGCCTCAACACCTCAGTAAGCATGTCTGTTTTGATTTGTAGGCTTATATTAATACTATCTATATTGTCAAACTTATAGTTAAGCCTGGCTGGATAGTGCGTTTTTAAACATTGTATCCACTTATTTTTATGGAACTCTAAAATTTTTCTAATGTTATCTGCTCTGGACTTTTCTATTCACTCAATTATAGTGAATTTGGCATGGATTTTAAAATCTTGTTTTTCTAGACAGAATTATTGTTCTATAGGCAATAATCTTGTGTGTGTGTGTGTGTGTGTGTGTGTGTGTATATATATATATAAAATTCGCTTGAGGATGAAATGGAACTAATGTCTTTAATTTAATCACAAAATTAAATTCGTGGCTTTTAGCTTCCATTTTTGAAACATGGTTAGAACTGTGTAGCGAAAAAAAAACATTTTAAATCAATTAATTTATAATATTAATGCTCTGTAAATTTACATTGAGCACTATTTTGTAAAAATAAAAATATCTATAAGAACACTGGATTATATATCTTGCTGTTCTTTTTATATATATATATATATATATATATATATATAAATCCTTAATCTTTTAACAGATAAAATACACTGTTGAAGCAATTCTGCCCAATAAAGTACTTAACCAATTGACAACTTCATTTAACTACTTGAGAGAAGCATAGTTTTGTATGACATCATCAATACCAGTTTTTATCGATTTGCTGCCAGAGTAAGAAGGCTTTAAAAAAAAATCTCTCCTGATGTAGCTCCTCAATTGTTCTGAAAGGATTTAGACCAAACTGATAAACATGTTTAATTTTGAAAAAGAGATGCTTGCTTGGGGAAAAGTAAAAAGTGCATGATGTAAATCATTAATTAGGACTTTATTTATTTGAATGTGTGCTAAACAGTTTATCTAAACAATGTTAGCCACTGGTCATCTCAAGGACATGACAATTCAACATATTGTTTCGAAGAAATTTGGCAATCCTCTTCCTTTGGAGGTAGAGAGGTTTTTTTTTTTTAAAACCAAATAAACTTTTGTGACCTGTTTTATATCCAAATTCATCACAATATTGATCCTTCACTTCATACTGAGCATATATATATATATATATATATATATATATATATATATATATATAAGCATTTGAGAGTAAAGTTAATTTTTTTTAATCTGCATAAAAATTTCACCCCAATTAAATGTTAGAGCCTGTTCACATATTAAAAAAAAAAAAAAATAAAATAAAATAAATAAAAATAAAAAATAAGAAATAAAAAGTACAAAATATATTTTTCTTAAATAAAATTTTAATTCAAAACAATAAGAGTTAGGGATATTTGTAAATAACATTATGTCTAACAATTTATTAGAAAAAAAATTGTTACTTTTCATAAAAAAGAAAATGTAGTCTTATTTGGATGGGAAGAGACTAAAAATCTTCAATTTCCTTTTTGGAAATTGAGAGAAAACAGGCAAAAGTGAGACAGCAAAGAATAAAAGAACAGTTGTGGGGTGTGGGGGGAATGAAACAGAAAAAGACAATCTTGGCCAAAAATGTAGAAAGAACTGTTTTGTTAACTTGTTATCACATTGATTTGTAAAATTTTATTCAGTTGCTACTTCAGCCAATTTTGATTAATATGAGTTGTCACCTCCTTTTTATGCAGAGATGTATTAAATAAAAGGTAGTTGCTAGGCCCATATATATAATTTTGAAAAAGCATCAGCAAATGTAGAAATATCAAAGCAAAATAAAAATATCTGAAAAAAAAAAAAAAAAAAAAAAATGTTTTTGAAAATTGCTCAATCAGCAAATGAAGTTTGAAGTGAAGATAAAAGAAATAATCGTCAAAAAAAAAAAAAAAAAAAAAAAAATGCTTCATCAAAATAAATCAATAAAAATAAATCAGCCAATATGAGGTATTGAATGATATTGCTAAGTAGTATTCTTATTGGAAAGCCCATTCTATAGTGTTTTTTGTGGATGAGGTGGGTTGAAGTCATTGAGGGACCAATTTTCATTGCTTCAAGTCTGCCTAGACCAAACGTGGTGGTAGCAATTTAATTTTCATTTTGAAGACAAGAAATTTGAGTTAA